GGGGGGGGGGGGGGGGGGGGGGGGGGGGGGGGGGGATTGCATGTGGGCACGCCGAGAGAGGCAGCAACGTAACAGAGCCAAGTCTCAGGAAGCAAGGAGCTACGTTCAGAAAAGACGTTCGGTTGCAACATCTCAACGCAATGCCTTCGCGAGTTCGTCTGTTCTCGAGAGACTGGATTACTGCTGTAGAAGGAATTCGCGAATAACCTCGAGAAAGTTCTCCGGGTTCTTCACAACCTGCATATATTTTCGCTGTGTTCACGAGAACATCCCAACCTGCTGCATGTGCAGCACGTATACATCGTTTGCTTTTATTTGCTTCATGCCAGCGGGTGGCGCCGTTGATCGTTACTTCATCCCTTGTTTGAATAGCGCGTGTCAGCTACCTGTTGCAAGTGTGAACAACTTCCGCCCCGTCTCAAATCGGCTCTCATGCCGAAAACAGCCGCGTCTACCTATTCTTCCCTACAAGCAGTCGATACGTCGATACCAACACATCATCGCTGTAACATAATCATTCACAAGCGTGCTCACAACAACTTATGCACTGGTGCATTTCCCCTCATCGAAAAAGCCAGCAGCACGCTCACCCTGCTTCGGAGTTGTCCTGCAGCTTCATTGCCTGTTCAGTCGCGTACATTCGGCAGTGGTACGCGACCACCGGCGCCTCGGGCTCGGGAGCCTTGTCTAGCCTCTCCGCCCGGCGCACGTACTGCGTCACGGGCTTCAGCCCGGGAGGAATAGACATCGCCATACTCAGGGCTACTGCTACCGTCGTATGAGCGGATCTCCCTTTTGACCAGCAGCGCACTTATGTCCTGCTCCACGTCGCTCTCCAGTCTCTACACAGAAGGTGCGGCGGAATGATTCAGTGTTATTTGGTTTGCAGAATTCCTCTAAATTTGCGCCGTTGGGGGGCACGCAGAGGGGGTGAACCTCCCCTCTACGAACCCCCGAAACCACTTGGCTTTTGTGTATCCACAAAGCTTCGGCACACGGAAGCCGATAGCTCGGCCATCAGGAGGTGATCCCAAACAGGACTTCGAGGTCGTGTGGATCAGGTATGGAACTAAAGATATGGCCCCTCTCTGGAACGTGATGCTACTTCTAGCACTAGATCTTGGCATCGCACAGAAAGGTCCAATATGCAGCACAGGGTACGCAGCGGACAAATAGCGTTTGAATTCGCATAGATGCACATGGCGCTACCTCGTGGCCCCGCTCTAGCCCAAAGTCGCCTCCACCCCTGTGCGAGTGCCGGGGATCATTGGACTAGCCCACGATAAGAACGTGTGTTAGCGTTAGCACAATACGCACGGTCCACGGCAGCAAAGGCTCCGTGCTGGGTGTATTGTGTGCAGGAAGCGCCTGTGTGGTACGCCAGCACATGCATGACCACGAAGCACATGACACGCAGCACAGAGGGGCACACCCGTTGCGACCTAAGAACACCATGCACATGTGATGTCCAGTCGATGCGTAGCGTGCTTGAGGTCGAGGCCGTGGTCAATTGTTTCGCAGGGGTTGATTATTCTCTCCTGAACAATTATAAACACGAAATAAAATTACTTCGAAGTAGGTGGACTAGATTATTATAGTCTTTATTGTACTCTGTATCCTGCGTACTACTTTTTTTGTGTACAGCAGTCGTCTGCTGGGAGATCCTTGAGGGGACAGTTCATCAGCGCGTGTCCACCCACCCGTACGCGTTGCAGAATATATATTTTTTGAGGTTGATGAGGGATGATTGCATTTGACCACGTGTCTGATTGCCGGGGAGGCAGGTGCTTGCGATCAATACTACTGCAGCGGCTGCTGGGACGCTACCCCTCCCCCCTTTTGCCTGAGCTGATTCTCACGTTCCACGTCGCTATTTTGAGGAAGAAGAGTACTAGTCCCGACAGGGCTGTATCAGAGGTAGTTGACACATGGATGACAGTCGTGACAACTGATCGCGTACTCGGTGCGTACCAAGCTCAAACGTGAGTTGCAATGCCGTCCCGTCCCGCCTGTTCGCCGGATGGGTGTCTAGGCAGGAAAAGCATGCCTCGCAAGAACAGCAACAGGGTGGCGAACGTAAAGAAGAGGGCTCGTCGTCCCAAGGGGCGGCCGCCGGAGCGGGCGTGGGCGCAGACATTAGCGCAGATGAAAGCAGCAGCGGCAGCGGCGGCGCGGAGAAAGTCCCTTCGCACTCGGGGAGGCGAAACGTTTGTGCGCCTTCGAAACGGCGGCTTCAGTAACAGCTGCGGGCCCATCTGCTTGTTGCAACATGCGATGAGTGATAGCCTCCCGATTGCTACCATCGAGAGAGCCACCAATGGCGAGATCGCGTCTGAGGTACGAGGCGCCCTGCGGTACATTCGCGACATCACCGTCGACACCTCGCACGGCCACACCCTGAGTGTGCTCGACCCCGACGAGGAGCGTGAGGTTCACGGGTTCGAAGATCTGGTGGATTCCGCAGAGCGCGACATCCTTTCGAAGCCGATGTGGGACAAGATCATGCGCTGTCCGTACGGCTACTTCGATGGCAGGGCGATGATGATCGGGGCGGACGCTTTGGGTCTAGATGGTCTTCTGATAGTTCGGGTGGACAGCGCTGGATTTTTGGTGGCGATGGATGGGATGACGACCCCAGTTGCCGAAGCGAAGCATCTCGTCCTTTGGGACGGGTACGCTCACTTCGAAGCCCTTTTTCCTGACGAAGAGGTGTACCCGATGGGTGCATTCTTCGCCCACCCGTCCTAATCTCCACACAAACCACGCCTCCGTAGAGCTACATTTTCTCCCGCGGTACACGGCGCGAGGGAGCATTACAATACTGTGCGGGGGGTTATCCTTCAGCCACTGCCCTCTGGTTTTGGTGGGCTCAAGAAAAGTCAGCCTCAGCTTGAATGCCACCCCCACACGCCCAATCCTCAAAGCACGTTTCAAAATAGCGAAGGCGTGCTTGTATGGCGGGCTCGTCACGACCCACTCCGGGCGCCGCCCTTCCTCGCAGAAGGTATCCACAAATGTGTCCGTCGTGGCATCCATATGACTGTCTGCGACCAACCTGAGGAGGGTGACAAGGACCAGGAAAAGGCTTGATTTTAATAATGGAGAAACGGCACATTGAAGATTTAAATGACAGGATCGTCTGCCAATAAGGGTGGCTGATGCCCATGCTGTAGACTTTGTGTGTCCTATATATATATATATGCTAGTTTTTACGCCAAAAGATAACAAGGCTTCAACAAGACTTCGTAGTTCCAACAGGCACTTGGAATACAGTGATGGGCACCATGAAGACAAAAAAAAATAAACACATACAGACATACCTGGCATCGACGTCATTGGTTGTCACGCCGAAACCGTGGTCCTTTAGCACAGTGCTGACTGCGTCGTTGGTGCTGCCACAGCAATCGAGCACGCCACCGGCCATCTCCACGTGTTGCAGAAGAGCTCGAACCTGAAGTAGCATCCCGTGGGGCAAACGCAACGGTTGCATGAGACTTTCATATCATCTGCCTTATACCCCGGTCGTTATGCCTTGGGCACAGTAATTGCCTATTGTTCCGTGTCGCTAGAGTCGTTAACTTGTGCAGGCCCAACTTTCGCGAGGCAAGGCGTGGCAGCGGCTGCCGGAATGGATCCTGAGCACTACAACAGCAGAATCCTAGCACCCGTTGCTCTTATTTTTTGAAAGACGACAAGGTTCAGGATTCCGCTATAAATTAGAACTGAACAGTGTAATTATTACCTCGTTTGTATGAGAGACCACATAATAAGACCTCAAACCTAACGGCGTGTGCTCGGCAAGAGGGAGGAAGGAATAACTACAAGTATGATCGTCAAACTACAAGTATGATCGGCAGAAATTTGCAAACAAATGCGAACCCCTACTCCGCAACACTCTACCTCCGCAATAATCTACATCCACACCGTGTGTTGCGGCTATAAATGCGATGCCGAACAGCTTTTTGAAACTCTACAATCAAGGCGCCGTGGCGGATCCTACACAAGCCAGATTACAAATTATGCAACGGCGATGTGATGTGCGTACTGCTGTGGACGTGTCCGGAGATGATCCACACACATCTCGAGACCACATCACCTGCGAACCAGTCGACGGGTACCGGCCCGTACGTGAGGGCTGCCCGAGCTCCATCTTACTCCCTCCTCCTCTCTCTTGCTTCTTGCGATGGCACTTGAACAAGTTGTACATCTGGAAGACGCAGTCGGGGCGGGCACAGATGCACTCTCCAACGCGTAGAGGATCTTGAAGAAGGTCTCGAGCGTGACGCCACCCTTCCCCAACACTTGCAGACCACTCGCCGAGGTCCTCCCAGTGCTCCGTATCCGCTACGTGGTTCCACTTTCTCGAGGACCCGTCACGACTGCCGGGCCGATCGCACGCGAAGCATAGCCCGAGCCCCCCGTCTGCCGCTTCTTTACCATGCACAGCTTTGCCACAGATGGCGCGAGGACCCCGCGACATCGCCGAAAACCGGTGAATCTGCCGATTTCCAGCTGCTCACTAGATCACCGATTTCTAAGCCCTGCGAGAGAGATCCCTCACCAAACTTCAGCAGACGAAAGGAGATAACCTCAGCTACAGCCCCCCCCACCTGGTAGCAGCTAACTCTCCTGCTAGCACTAGATCAGGCTGCCTCTGACCGCCGCACCGAGTTGCTCCGCGTGCCAAAAATTTGCTCCCAAGCAGGTCTGCTGTGCTCACACAGCGCCGATTGACGGCGTTTCTCCTGGACTAACCCCTCGAGCTTTACTAACTCCGTGATCTGACGCGCTGTCGTAGTGTCTAGGGCGCGGTGGGTGGCTGCTATGGCTGGTTTTGTGAAAGTGTACGTCAGGGGGCTTTTCCGGGGTATGTGATTTTTGTTGATGAATACTGTGTGCGGATCCCCGGCGCAGTTGAGATTTTACGTTATCCGCCCATACTTCGCGCCTCGGGGACCGATTGGCTTCGTTCTTTTTCCTAAACCGTCCACACGTACCAAAGCTACAGGCAGGTCCTTTCTTCATCACCAACGGTGTGCTTCACGGCGACAACTCGTCGAAAAGGAGCGAAAATTTCCAGAGGAGCTCTGCAAACCAAATAACACTGGATTGTTTTTCCGTGGACGTGAGGGGTCCCGCAATATGTATCACTTGGCCAGGGTGGGGGGAAGCATGAGGCGGCGGAGGAAAATCAGCGTACCATAGCGTATTGCGTCGAGCGTCGAGCGGAGGAAACCGTCCTCGTCTCGTCGTTCCGTTCTCGCTGTTTGCTGCCAACTGCTCCTCCGTGCTGCTGCTGCTCGGACATAGCACGGGGCGGAGAGCTGGAGAGACATGGTTATGGCCCCCAAGGCCGAGATCCCGCTCTACCACCAGAACAGGCTCGGCGGCTCGCGCGCGTTGTCGACGAGGCGGAGAAGGTCCGGGGCCGGCGGTAGCTCCAAGAGCAAGAGGAATGTCGGGGGCAGCCTCTGCTGGTCGGTGCTGGTCGTCGGCACCCTGGTGCTTTTGGCCTTTGGCCTCGGCACGTTCACGGGGATTGAGCTCGCCCAGGCTCCCGGCGGGCCGGGGACGTCTTTGCATAACGGTGAGCGGGCTTTTGTGCGTGTGGCATCGCCCCCATGAGGTTGTAGCATCGCTCCCATGATGTTGTAGGCACTATAATCTAGCTCGGGGATGTGGCGCGAGGTCCACTAAGCACTAACGGGAAAGGGCGGTCTCACGAAAATGGTTAACGCGCGTGGTGACTCCTCCTCCGTGCAGTCCCTGCCGGTGTTGTTTGTATGTTTCCACACAGAGGAGCGGTGATGGCCACCACGACCACAATTCGGGCGGAGAAACCAGCAAGCGTTATTATTTCGTGTCTCCTGATGCAATACGTGGGATTGCGCATTATTTTCCGAGAACTTGCAACGGGAGGGTTTGGGTGTCGAGAGATTTTGTACAGCGTCCGTGTTCGCCCACTGAAGAATCACGAACGTGCTGAACCCAGCTCGCGGTAGTTCATTAGCGCCAACACGAGCAGTGGGAGTAGGAACATCATTCAGCACCCGCGCGAAAAAAATTACTCATCTCGTCCTGGTCCTGCGGTGGATGAATAGCTGTTGTGGTTCCGACGTTTATACCTCTCCCTACATTCAAGCCATCATGAGGAACATGTCGTTCAGTAGAAGTAGCTCGAGTCCAAGGAGGGCACCCCTAGATGCTCGCTGGAATATGCGCGCCTCTCTGCAGCATACAGGTTTTATGTGCATGCCGCCTCGGGAGCATTCCATCGTAGGTCTCGACATAATATTTGCTCCAGATTCATCAAAAGTCTCCCAGGGCATGTGGTCCAGCAGTGTCTGCTGTGTAGTGCCATGTGTTAGTCGATCATCCGGCCACATGGACATCACATGCCACGTTGTTTTTCAGATCCACGGGTCCTGGGCGCCTCTGTGGGTAAATCTACAGCGCTAGTACGTACAGCGCTTCATAACGGCTTGGTGATTTTCAGGGACGCAAAATCACCAGATCACACAGGAGGGGTCTGTCTCGTTCTGCATTTGCTGCTCTGGTATTCGATTTGTTTGGGAATGAGCTGTGGAAAGGACGTCGGGGAGGGTGTACTCATAGTCATGCATGTCATGGTCGTTAGACCATTGACCTCGCATCCCTACAAAGCCGGGACGGAGCACGCCGGGTTCTCACCGGACCAGGCTCTCACATCACCAAGCGCGAAGCGCCGTGAGATATTCGGCGAGTCGCATGAAGGGTGCGCTGCATCCTGCTAAGGGTGTTCGGCATCTTGTGCTTACTTCCTTGCGTACGGATGACAGCTGCGTATGACTTAATTTATTTTCTGGTGCTTTCACTTCCAGAGACAGTTGTAAGCACTGTGTAACTGCCTCGAGGGTGCTTGACCATTTTAACACAACGTGGTGCGATCATCCCCCTTGCGCGGAGTGAGGGTTCTTCACCCCGCACAACATGATCTACTCGACCACCACTATGGTTACCGCCAAAAAAAAAGCAGAGTTAAAAAAAAACGGGAACCTGGTTGCCGAGTTCACGAAGTGAATGGGCTTGTTTTACAACGTCGTTGCCATGCGACGAAAACCCAACCCCGATGGCAAACAGCGGGGGGGGCGGCTTGTTTTACAACGTCGTTGCCAAGCGACGAAAACCCAATCCCGATGGTAAAACACCGGGAGGGACGCGTCGGGGGGGGGGGCTTACGGAGAGGGATGCCTTCTGCGTGACCCCCTCCCTCTGGTTTCATGGAGGAGGAAACAAGCGTAAGACGACACATGCGGCATGACGACGAAACGCTTTTTTTTTGTGCCTTCTTGGAGGCTCAAACAGCTCACATGGTGAATCGATTCCTTGGACTAAGAGGCTCGGGACTACTGTAGGTTAACGACCAGAGGGCAAGAGCAACTCTCGCCCCCCGCCCCCGCCTCTCCTCACTCGAAAACTATCGCTGCCTTAAAGACTTGATTGAACGCAAACCACGCTCGAAAAATATCGGTGGGTCCTTCTTTTCAACGCGAACTACTGCCCGACAGGCAACCATGCACCAAGGGGCACCTTCATGCCGAAGCTTGAGCACCCCGGTGGGCAGGAGCAAGTGGGCGGGGGTGCGGGGGAGCTGAATAACAGAGACAAACCGGCCCCACTGCCGCCTTGGAAGGCGCAGGCAGGGAGGGGTGATCATCAGGTGCAGCCTCCGGCAGCACCAGGAGGCGGTAACGACGGAGGGGGGGGTGGGGCAGGGGTGGGCTTGTCGACGGTGCCGTGGCTGCATGAGCACTCGTTCCACGCTAGGGAGGGGGCTTTCGTCACGGGAGGGGAGAGAAGCTTAGCCTTCGACAACTCTGAAGAGGTGAACGATCGAGGTGGCGTTGGACATTTGAGGGTATACAGGTACAGGTACAGGCGGCCTGTCTTTGGTAGGTTCGCTGTGCTGCTGCTACCTCTGACTGTAGCACTTCTCTTGTATTGGTTTGCCGAACCTCGTTCATCCACGACGTCAACAAAAACAACATTTCCGCACATAGGACAGATCATGAGCTAGCGCACCTGTGTCGCGTAGATCACCCTGGAACAAACATACCCCGATCACCCATGTCCTTAAGATCATATCGGGCAAACATGAACTGATCACCTTTGTCCTCAGTACCACCTTGGGCGAACATACCCCAATCACTTGCGTCCTTCAGATCCAAACTTACCCTGATCACCTTATGTCCTTCAGATCACCTGTGTCCTACCGATCACAAGGGACAGACATGCTGTTCGAAAAAGCTATTTAGCTCCATCTCATCCGTCCTGTGTGTGGGTGTTCAATTCCCAGGTGACGGTTTCGGCGTGGATCCACGTGGACCGCGAGATGTCAGACATCAAGACCGTCCTGGGGAACAAGATGTCCGGCTGCGGCTCCGACGCCCTCGGCTTCGCCCTGTACGTGAACGATTGGAACAAGAAGGACGGGCAGCTGTGGCTCGAGTGGGGGGACGGTGCGCTGGGATGTCATAAGGTGAAGGTGCCGAGCGTTGTTGGGCAAGGTTGGTAGATCGGAATGAGTGCCTTGTGTGGTATTTTGTACTTCTCTTTCCAAGATTTCCTTGGGAGAGCTGCTCCCATCGTGTGGTATGCGTGAGAGAGGAGGAAGAGGGAGCTCTGCGTGGGTATCCGTGTGCCCCCAACCCATCCCAACCCAGCAAAACCGACGGTAACATACCCCGCAAACAGATCCATTCCAAGAAAAAAGTGCCGGTCGGCCAGTGGGTGCACGTGGCAGCCAGGTTCGACAGCGAGGGAGACGAGGGCGGGAAGGTTTCCGTCTTCATGGATGGCAATCTCGTGGCGTCCCGGGCGGGGTCGCGACGGCCCGGCAGCCGCGAGGAATTTGCTGTGAGTTTTTTTTTTTCTACGGAAACGTATTTTATGTCTCGTCGTGTGCATAGACCGAAACTCAAGATAACGTTTGGTATTGTGAAGCGGGAGAATTTGAGGTCTCACGTATCATTAACTGGCGTTTGGTGTTGCTTAAACGGTAGGATGTAGGCCTGTCGTTAGCTGACGTTTGATGTTGCGAAAACGGGAAAAGTCCATCTATGGGTTGTGTGGATCTACGATGGATGGTTGGAATCTCTTGGTTCGGTTGCTGGGGTCCCACAGAGGGGTGGCTGGGTCTGTCTCAGCTCTCGTTCTGTGGCCTCGGGTCGCGACGGCCTGGCAGCCGTGAGGAATTTTCTCAGACTGTCCTCTTCAAAGTTACGGATAATCGTCTCGGCATTTCGAGGTGCACCCACCCCCCCCATTTTCCTTTATTCTGTGAACAAGGGCAATTCGAAAAAATGAGTTTGTCCACCCTAGTTTTGTCCGTTTTTGTTTTTTTTTCTTCTTGTCATCGTTTGTGGCAACTTGTGGCACTGCGGTTCCACACACACTACAGTAGTGTTTCGGGGTAGATGCCGTTTTCATGGGAAAAAAACGTTCCAGACAGAAATATGTACAGCAGTAGCTCTTTTCATGGGATTCATCGTGCTCTCAGAATGTTGCTCGTGCTGCTCTTGTTGGGTGTTGCCCATGCTACACTCCCGGATGATGAAACGTTTTGTCCTGCTGTTCGCCGTCGTTGTGGTTGTGTGTGTGTATGCGTCTTAGATCGGCGCGTTCTCGAACGGCGACTTCTCCTTCGACGGGAGAATAGGCGCGGTCACCTTCTTCGGCGCTGCCCTCACCGATACCCAGGTGGGGGTAACAGTGCCGTGTGTTGTTGCAGCCGCAGCTGTGGTTAATGCTGTTCTTGTTGGGTGGTTGTTGCTGCTATTTTCTTCTCCTTTGCGGGTATATTATCTTAATGGTTCTTTGTCGCCTGACTCGTTCTTCCACCACGTCTTGTTTGTTTTAGGTTTATTTCAGAACATTTTTTTTTTTTCGAGCGTTGCTTACATGTTGCATACATTTCCAACTCACACACATGGGGACACGGTGGATGAGCCTTTTCCACCGCACACGCCACGGACGAACAACACCTGACGCGCCTTCGACGCGCCGCCGTGCTTCCCTTCCTCGACGTCGCTCCGGCCCACACGCCTACGGCCTGCCACCACCCAAACAACGATGAGCAGATTCAGGATCTGGCGCAGCGATCGAAGGACTCGCTAATCGCCCAGGCGGTGGAGCAGCCGTCCCTTAAGGAACACCACCAGAACCTCCTAGTGGCGTTGCAGCTGGACGAGGCGTTTTCGGCGGAGAGGGAAAAGGTGCCCTTGTTTTCTTGTTGCTTTTCCTGGCGTCCTTTGGACATCGGTCCGGGGGATGTGTGATATGTGTTGTGACTTATGATACAACAGCACGCTTCTGTGGGGATCCCTTGGCGGAGCAGATACTAATCCTGCTGTAATGGTTTTGCCTCAAGTGGTTGTTTTATGATCCGGCTGTTTCTGCCGCTGCTGCTGATACGCTGTTGCTTGCTGTTATGACTTGGGCGCTTGTCGTGGTGTGTCTGCCCGCCGAAAGCAAGATACAAATAGCATCATACGGCGGCAAGCTTCTTTTTTTCTGTGCGTGTGTGGCGTAATACCTAGAAGGCAACCCCCCCCCATCCCCTTTGTTCCTGGTAGGGATAATCGAATCTGCTTTGTGCGCCTTCAGTCCTCCGAGTCGCCCACCCCCGTCATCCTCGGTTGTCAACTCGCCGTCTTTTTCGTGCGTCTCTGGCGTCCGCCTTCCTTCGCTTTTTGCCTTGTTTCTGCTGGCAGGATGGCGCGGAGGCCTTGCACGCGAACGGTACTGGCCAGCTGGAGGGCGGCACCTACCACTTCATGCACATGCAGGAGCCTCCGAAGGTGGACGAGAACCTCAGGGACGGAATCTCCGCACATGACGTGAGTGCTCCTGGTGCCTTTTTGTCGATAGGTTTTCGAGAAGAATAAGTAACCACGCTGGGGGCCCGACCCGACCCCCACCCCTTTCCTTCATACTCCCGAGTATATTTGTTGGTGTTTTCTTGTTTGGCCGGTTTGTTTGTGTTTTGTGGGGACTTCGTACAAAATGGCGGCGGGTAGCTGGTGAATACGATTCGTGGGCATGGTGGTACGTGTACAAATCCACGAGTGTCTGGTGATCGCTCCCTATCCCCCCTGTCGAAGAGCAGACGCAGAGAACGCCGCCCTTGATCGTCTAAGGCCGCATGCGTAGGAGAAACCAACCGGCGGCATTGTATTGTTTGTGGGAGGTATGTGGTCTATTTTGGAGCGCGTTCTCCTTCCTCTCCTGTCTGCGGGGAAGCCGCCGACCGCCATGTTGGGAAAAGCTGTTCGCCGCCATTTTTTTTGCAAGCTGCACTTGCTTGCTAGACGAGCCGTGCTTGAAGTACCTATCTAAACGCACAAGCAGAACCGGCTTCAAGGGAGTGACCGGCCGACGACATAGCTGTAGCGCCGAGACAGGAGGGGAGGGCAGGGCGGTGGAAAGGGACCACTGCTTTGTGGGTGGTAGAGCCTCCTCTTCCACGTCACGGCGTTTATCTGTCAATCCATTCTAAAACGGGTGCGGTGCTCCACGAAAAACACGTGTGTCGATTGTCGTCGCTCTCTCGACAGCTTGTCAAAGGCGTCTTTTGGGGAAAACATACTTATTTTAGAGTAGGCGTTTGGCGCTTGGCCGCCTGTCAAGGCTGTCAAAGGTGCGACCCCCCCGTTTTCCACCAAGTAGCTGACACCAGAACTATATACCGGCGTCGTTTCCCCCGACGACTCCATTCCTTCCTTCCAAGCGCAACTGCTGCACCCTTATGGCAACACAACACGCCAACGACGCAGGTGACACCGCAATCGAAGGAAGAGAGCGACCGGAAGGGGCGAGAGAGGGCGGCCAAGGTGAAGGAGGCCATGCAGCACGCCTGGAAGGGCTACGAGCAGCACGCCTGGGGCGCAGACGAGCTAGCGCCGAGAGCCAAGAAGGGGAAACAGCCATGGGGGGGCATGGGCGTGACGCTGGTGGACTCTTTGGGTGC